TGGAATAACGAGGAGCAGAGTTGCGACGAGTTATTTAGCCAGACGCATTCGCGAAACGCGGAGGGTCGATACGTAGTACGACTTCCATTCAAATCTGGCCTTCCGGAGGCCGCTGTGGAAACGCGTGGAATGGCGTTAGGTTCCCTCAAGTCAATGCATCGTCGCTTTGCACGGGACGCGAGATTAGCGCGATCATATCGAGAGTTTATGGAGACATATAAGTCGCTCGGACATATGGAACGAGTGCCTTCAGAGGAGATTGCCAACGCTTCGGCGTGGTACCTGCCTCATCATGCCGTTGTGCAGTGCTCGGGCACGGCGTGGAAATTACGTGTAGTCTTTGACGCTTCTCGTCAGACAAAAGGAGGTTACTCCTTGAACCACTATATGATGAAAGGTCCCTCGTTGCAGCGTGATCTTGCATTGATATTGCTGAATTGGCGCAGATATCGATTCGTGTTTACCACAGATATCGTGAAAATGTTCAGACAGATCGGGGTTGTGCCTGCCGATCAGGATTGTCAGAGGATCGTGTGGTCCCCGGATCCGGCGGTTGACCCTGTAGATTCTCGATTAACGACAGTTACGTATGGCACTAACAGTGCTCCCTATCTGGCGATACGTACACTTTTGCAATTGGCTCAAGACGAAGGAAGTAGGTTCCCGTTAGGGGCACGGTTAGTGTTGTGAGTACTGAAAAAAACCCGGACATTTTCGGAAAAAAACCGGGTTTTTTACCGTTTTTTTCCCAAGGCTGGGAAAAATAGGAAAATATGGTAATTGTGAATTTTTACACTATTATTTAATTGGAGATTTAATATGGATATTTAATATGGAGAAGGAGGAAAAATAAGCAAAAGTCCACATTTTGTTCATTTTTTATATATAGAAAGGGGAACAAAATCGTGTACATATTTTTTTATTAAAATTTATTTGACAATTACAGTCTTGATATTAACTATAGTGATCGACTATACACAGTGTAGACTATACACTGTGTGTATAGTCGATTACTATAGTTCCACAATGTGTTTACTAAGAGCCTTATAGTATTATAATTTTTTTATTTCTTCAGTGGTAAGCCACTATCTTTAACCTCTTCAGTGGCTTACTACTGATGGAATTTGAACTTCTCAGTGATCTCTTAACAAATAAATAATAAAAATTTTATTACATATTAAACTTGAAACAAAACGATTTGTTAAAAATAATAATTTCATCACAACTTTGCATGTTGTTTTTTTATCACATAAAGAATATATTTTTTATTCAATGGAATCACAATCACTGCTATAAGTTTCCTCCTGACTATCACTTTCATCTTTTTCGACTTCATAATCTATGTCTTTGCTGTAATTATTGTTTTCTGCATCGACATCGACCCTCAGTATACAATTCTCAAATTGACTCATCTCTAGAGGGGACGGGGACGGGGACATCTTAACAGGTTTACATGCTGCAGAGACTGAGAAGAGATTTAGGTTCCATCTTATTTTTGTCAGTTTATTTACTCTATCACAAGTCAGCCTATTCCTACGTTTTGTGTGGACACTCTCATATACTGACCACACTCTTTCACAGGCAGCTGATGATGCTGGTATTTCATGCAGTTTTGACGCCAAAAGCATGAGCGGCTGATCTGTGCAAAGGCCACGCCACCAAACTGCAGGTGTGGTGTGCACAGCAGCATTCCACACATCTTTTTTGGACCATATCCCGCTGTCAGTCCTGAACTCTGCCAGATTGGACAACACTAGACTTGTATCTTTTTTTTTTAACGTGTGGAAATCTTTTATGGATACCCGGGCCCCCCTCCGGGAAGGGAGTTTACATTAAGTGGCCCGGGTTATGTGGGACTGCCCCGCTAATGGCGATCGGGTGCGGCCGCTGACATTGCGACCGCTGGGCTTACCGCACTAAAACCACACGGTGGACTGCGCTGTGCTTTACTTGGGGGACGCCCAGGACTTGGCAGAGCCATTACTTCTGGACGCCCCCCGACTAGACTTGTATCTAGATTGAGGTGTTGGCACTGCTGAGTAATGAACTCGATTGCACTTATTTTGTTACTTTCAGACAACACTTTACCTCGATACAAGGGGTGCATAAGATTGGCAGCCATATGAATAGACTTGCAGCAGAATATTATTCTTTTTATGAGTAATTGTTTAATTTTTTCAATTTCATGAAAGTTGGAAAGCGGCCATTTCTCCAATACATTAAAAATATTACTCCTCATAATAGCAAGAGCTTGCGGTACATCAGCAATAACAGCAGAATCACTTTCCAAAACAGCAATTGCAACTGCAATTGGTTTTAGCAATTCTTCAATCAACTTCAATTGGGCCCAATAATTATCATTATCAACGAGTATGTTTCTCACTGAGTTAAGTAATGTCACTTTAGGATCAATCATTGTTTCAAGAAGAGCAGCTTTGTTACATAACATGCTATCTATCATAATATGAATAGCATTCCAGCGAGTTTTACATGGTAGCTTGAGGGCAATAGATTTTATGCCATATTTATCTTTTTGCTTAGACTTAAAAACAGCAAGTGGAACATGACTATTTTTAATATTTTTTATCACCAGTTTTGTATTATTAACTATAACTTTAATGGAATCAAGTTTTAAGATATCTTTAGCGAAGAGGTTGATTGAATGAGGAGCACAACCAAATGCTGTTATATGTGGATACTTTTCAGTAAACTTTTTCCATGCACTTTTCATGTTGGCAGCATTGTCAGTAATGAGTGCCATAAATTTTCCCGGACCTACATCATCAGCTACCTGTGAAAATTCCTCAAAAATAAAATCTGATGTTTGTCTATTAGTATTGGATTCTATAGCTTTGTAAAACACTGGCTTAGGTGTTGTAATTATAAAGTTAATTACACCTTCGCCTCGACAGTTTGTCCAGCCATCACTTAACAAACATAGACACTTGGCATTGTTTATATTTTCGTTAATTGAAACTTGCACTCTTTCATGTTCGGCCTCAAGCAACATATTAGATAATAAAAATCTTGAGGGAGGTTTATACGCAGGATGAATCAATTTGAATGCTGCTTGCCAATGTAGATTTTCAAATATAGACAGTGGGGTAGCTGTGGCATACACAGCTCGTGCAATAGCTTCATCCATTTTCTCCTGCTCTTTAGCAGTGATAAAGTCAGCATATCCCGTCATCAATTTGCATTTCTTACTAGGTAATTTATTTGTACTTGGTAGTGGAAGTGGAAGAGAGCTACTTGATGCCTGTGATGACTGCCTGTATCTTGAAGCTAAAGCATGTTCGTCTCCGGATGAAGATGTACTTGCTATTGGCATCGGATCGTCCTTGTCCTTGTCCTTGGATGAAAACAGTTGGAATAGTCCGAGTTGTTAAGTCTCTTGAATGTCCAGGAATTTCTTCCTTCACATCTGCTGCGATTTTGGTGCAAAGCGTTAACAGATGCTTCCTCATTCTTGTTGCATTGGGGAACTCATATTTAGTGTTGTAATATTTACACGTGGCTTGTCTCTTTCCATTTTGGGACAAGGTCATATTGAAATAATTCCATACGTCTGAAGTAGGCCTCATAATCATAATAGTGATCTGTAAACAATCATAAATCTTGAATTCCAGTTCGACACCATTTGGCACTCTGGAAGAGAAGAAAATATAGGTTATGCAGCATGTGGATATTTTCATGTGCGGATATACGTCATAGACAGAATATATATAAATATATATATATATATGT